TACATCTATATATATATATATACACGCAGAGGTACATATATCCATATATCCATATCTGCATGTCTGCATGTCTGCATGCATGCAGCATGCATGGATGCAAACGTATGTGCGCATGCGAGTGCGCGTCTGCGTGTGTGTGTGTGTGTACGTTTATGTATGAGCTACGAACTGTCTTTCGTCGCAGGCTAATGGTTTCCCGTCAAGACCGCGGCCCCTTATCGCGTTCCGCAGGTACAGCCAACTTGCCATAGCGATGCTCTTCCTCTATATATGAGACACTGTCACAAGACCTTTGCAAAGATAGAAATCCTGCAAATGACACGGATCTGCTGATCAACCTGGAGGCCCAAACCAGCTGTCCTTCCCGGACTGCGCCGCATCTTTGAGCAGTAGGATCAGCGGGTTCGTCTCGTAATTTAGCCTCAGCAGCGTTCATTCCCGTTGCTCTGAACATTTTCATCTAACACGCTGCTTCTACTTAAACATCTCCGAGGAAGGACTGGTGACTGTTGCTACACTCCTACGGAACGGCAGCTGAGCAGCTGGTACAGCTTGAAGGCCTCCATGGCGCGCTGGAACCTAGTGACACTAGTCACAAGATGCAGCACAGCTTGCGGTTGCGGGTCTGGGAAGCCCGGGTGGCTCTTTGTTCTCGCCTTGGCCACGGAAACAACTCAGCTTCAGAGCACAAAATCGTTTTCCCCCAAGACCCTCTTCACCCACTGATGTAGACAGATCTGAAGCCCCCATGAAGCACCACTAGACGAGCCCGCGGAGCAGTTTCAGGCCCGTCGGGTCTTCGTCCAGGATCCGCTGGTCCTGGGAGTCCAGGAAAAGCAGCAGGAGCTCGAGGATGAAGCCGGGGATCGCGGACAGCATGCGTTTCAGCACACGGGCCGTGCTACGTGCGCCCTTTGCGCCGGGCTGCTCCCGGAAGAAATGCCACAGGAAGCCCTCCACCTGTGCCCTGTCGGATGGCGCGGACCTTTGAGCTGGGCGGGAGAGGGAGCGCCTGCAGCACTTCACGATCGTTAGCTTTCTATGCCTCACAGCCGAGACTGCTTCGAGCTGCAATCTGCCAGAATGCCAGGCTCTCCAGCGAGGGCCCGACTCGATGCGGTGCCAGATAGAAGGGAAGTTGAAAAGCTCCCAGTTGAAGTGGCTGCCTTTCGTCGGCACAATGTCCCAGGCCACATCTGCGCTCGAACCCTCACCGCGGGTTCTGAAGGATATCGCGATTCTTCCCATCCGCACCTCGTGAAACATGGGATGCTGCTCTAGCCTTCGTGCCAGCTCCTTGTAGTCAGCTTCTGCAGTGGTCTTGCCTTCCACCGTCAAGGCATAATCGACATCGCTCTGCTCTCCACCGGCCTTGATCAGATCCGTCCCGCGGAACGTCGAGCCCATCGGCGCAAGTGTGACAGGGCTGCGGCACACCTCCTCAGCGCAGTGTCTCACCTTCGGACCACCAGGTCTAAACAACAACTTGTGGCTGCAGCGGGCGGTTTCGGGCGTAGGACTTGAGAGGACTGCTGCAAACAGCGAATCCTGGGACCTACATCCTGAGCTGAATTTCTGGGACCAGGGGCCGCATCGACCACATCCTGCTCGTGCTTGGAATCCACTCTTGCGGGTTCCAATGTCTCTGCCAGGCGCTCGAAGGAGTCCCGCACCTGCCGGTTGCACAGCCACAAGAACCCAACTGGAGGCCTCCATCCTGGCTATGCTCTGCATGTTGGGCGTGCTTTGTGGACCGGGCTCCCAAAATTGGTCTGCCTCATGGGATTCCTGCAGCTCTGCCCAAAACCAGTTGTCGTCGCCAACATCCATTGCGGCACATCAAACGTACTTGATATCAACATGGCAACAAAATGGACAGCCTGCACTCACGTGAAATTTCTTGGACTGCGAATACACCATAAACATGGTGGCACCAAATCATGTATTCGAACAAATTACGATGTAGAATCAACGTAAACAGACCAGGGCTTGAATAAGCGGCCCAGTTGAGACCAGCAAAAACACACAATACCAGCAATCATGCATAAATCACACTCAAGGCAGTCGTCATCAAATAGCATTAAAAAGAACACAATGAGAATCAAAAACCATCATCAAGGCACGAATGATAATGCTGTTGACGCAATGCAAAACTACTCGGCGGGCTTTTCAAAGCTTGTCGAACTCTTCTGTGATTTCAAACTACTTTCCAAGAGAGAAACCGAGGTCGGATCCACTGTGTTTGATGCTTTTTGGTCGCACAGCGCTGTCTTGATCTATGTCGGCTTTGCATTGTTTGTGAACTATGACGTGTATGAAATATCTGGTTGCGGAACACTTGTTTCGCGTTTGCTAGCTAACAAAAACCACGCCTATGAGGCCAAGCGTTTGGCGATGCACTTACCAGACTTCCAAGTTGACAGGACCCAGAGCAACCACAAATGTTCCAGGGCAAAGACAGAAACATGCTGTGGTCTTTTCCGACCTGGACCTTGTAGCGGGCTTTGAAAGAACAGAGGTTTGGCAAAAACATGCGTGGTTTCAAAACAAAACCAAGACTTACCCAAGTGGTCCAATCTCTGAGCAAGAATTCGGCGTCAGAAACAACAATAACAATTTCCAGACTGGACGCAAAACCACGCACAATGGGGGCCTTGTGCATGGACACACTTTCAGGACTTCATAAAAGATGCATGAACCGCCTGTTGGGCGAGTGCGATGACGAACTGACAATCTGAAATCGCAAGTACAGAGGCAATCCTCATCCATACAAGAGATGCGCCAATTTCAAGCTGTAGCTGACAGTTCACAAAGTAAAACGCTTTCTCTTGTGTAGCAGGGTGTTCGCTCCACAATCGATCGCCTACAAGGGAGCTGATTCAAAATCAAAAGGGTGTTGAGCTACAGCCTCGGACCGACAACGAAAGATCGACAGGGCTCAGGGGCCTAGGACGCAACGATCTTCGGCCCTTTAGCCCGAAAATTTTGCTCGCAATCGGAGCTCGACGATTGTGGACTCTTTCGCTACCCTCACTCTCTCACTCTGCTCACTTCGCTCACTCACTCGCTCCGCTCCCTCTTCCGCTCCTTTCGCTCCGTTCGCTCGTTCGCTCCGCTCGGGTCCACAATCGTCGAGCTCCGATTCGCTCGGTCCCAAAATTTTGGGGCTAAAGGGCCNNCCCTGAGCCCTGTCGATCTTTCGTTTTTGGTCCAAGGCTGTAGGCTCAACACCCTTTTGATTTTGAATCAGCTCCCTTGTAGGCGATCGATTGTGGAGCGAACACCCTGCTACAAGAGAGAGGCCGCAGCGGTATTGCGGTTTCAGGGCTGTGCGAGTTATCTTTGTCAACCCCGATTTTGTCAACCCATTTGTCAACCCATTTGTCAACCCAATTGTCAACCCAACCCGCGTCGCCAGGCCTCTCCGCGAGTTAAGCCGCCGAATTTGTCAACCCCGAAATTGTCAACCCGTTTGTCAACCCGATTGTCAACCCAGATGTCCCAACCTGCGCCGCATCGTCGTCGAGGCCTCGTCATGTCGTCGCCACGCTTCATGTCCCCGTGGACCCGGTGCCGTGAACGAGTGGAACCGGTGCCGTGGAACCGGTGCCGTGCAACCGGTGCCGTGGATGATCGCTTCTCCTTCGCCTTGTTGTACAGCGGCTTGTACACTTTTGGCTCAAATCTTGGTGTACAGGTTCGGATCAAGCGCCCTGCTCCCTAAACCCTATACTCCCTCAGCCCTCAACCCTAAACGGCTATGTTTTGCACTTTTTTGGCATGGAATGTTCTACATCCTTGACCCTCCGAACCCTCCGGACCCCAAAACCCGGCGGCCGAGTATGCGAACACCAGGCCACCGAATCCACACCCTCTGTGCCCTTAAAACGCCAGCTCTCCGACAAACGGAGATGGTCCCTTTGTGACATCAGGTGGCTGTCGAAGGGTCATCATGCTGATGGCAAAACGGGCAACGGTGATTTTAGTTTTGGAGGCATTTTCTCTGTGGAGACCGGGTGCGCAGACTGTTGACGATCATCATCATCATCATCAGAATAGCCGCCGGACTGCGGTCGACTGCTTGGGAAACCCCAATCAGCATGCCTGGGGTTTCATTTCAACAGGGCACACGCCGAAGGCTGACGAGGATAGAATGCTGGAAATCCTCTGCCAAGACTTTATCGAGCCGGGGCGCAACTTTCAGACTTCGGCGTTTTCCCTTACTTGCAGATGAGGGCCGATTGGGATCTTGACGATTGGCTTTCGTTTAGAGGCCTGTGGATTCTGCCTTCTCCCCAGCAGCATGGTTGCGGGCGCCTTGCCATATGCAGCTTCCGACGCGAGGCACACCAGGAACAGGTAAAATGCAGCGGATGCCTCGGATCAACAGGCAACTGACAGCTTAACATGGCCGAAAAACGGCACGTGGAGACTGTTGATGCAGGGATTGTTGGAAAAGGAAACAAGGACACGCAACAAGTCCTGAACACTCCACCGGAACGGCCGCCCCACGCATAATCACGAGGCAAGTGATCGGCTTTAGCACGTAATCGCCCCAACCCACAAGTCATCAGAGAGAATATCACTACGCTGAAGCAGAACCGGGACAGCCAGTTGTGCGCTGGGTTGCAAGGCTTGCAGAGCTTTTACGGTCCACGGCGTGACGGACGAATGGGCTTCAGGGTAGGGTTCTAGAAGGGTTGGGGTTTACGACAACCCACGGGACTCAGCCGTTCCCAGCACAGCAGCAACACATGCAACAACACGTGCAGCAATCCTGCTCACAAACTCCCAAACACAGATCCAAGCATGTTCGAACAAGCAGCGAGTGCCGGCACAGTCTTGGTCAACTTGTTGTCCATGTGGCAACTACACAACAACCCTCCTGCGGGCATGTGACATGCAGTGTTTTGCAGAAACTGCTCAACTGTCTCAATGTCAAGCTGTGCAAAGCTCGTCGTCTGTGTGATGTGCCGTCTTCAGGCTAGAAACAGACACAGAATGCAAGAACGCACATCTAAGTGTTCGTTCGGTTGATTCCGGACAGGCATCGGTCTTCAAAAACGGATCTCGCGCAAGAGTTGTGGCAAGAAGCAAGGATCCATGAGAAGCAGTCGAAGCACGCAGGAGCTTGTGCAACTCCACACGGTCTACGCAAGCAAAAAGGCTGGCGGTTGAATCGCTAAAAATAACTTCCGCTCGCAACGCGACTACCACAACGAATGACGACGACTACTTCTAGGATTACTACGACGACGCAGCAACTAGCACGACGACGACAACGACTGTTGCAGACGACCACTACGACGACTGCAAGTACAAACAATCTACTCAAAATAATCCGTTCAAAATCGATCAGCCAAAGAAATTGAATAAGACCACCGTCCATGTCATGTAAGCTCAAATCTTCTTGCTAAGAACTCATTGAACGCTACTGCAACAGCTTGTCCAGAAACATCGAGCACATCAAAGTCCGCAAGTCTAACAGCGGTCCAAACAGTTTTCGGATTTCGGGCATTTGCCACTTCAGATGTGTTGCAAATCTGCGAGTCTGCGGCATACAGCTCAGCGGATGTCTTGGACGCTGTTGTGCTGTGCACTTTCAAGGCTGGCTGCATAGTCAGAGAGTGCAAAAGAAGAGAGAGGTGAAAAGTGGCATTCGCTAAGCCCTGCGTAGTCAGCTCAGCATGAGTCCAGCGAGCTCAAAGCCTTCGAAGACTTTGAAGGGAGTTTTGAAGCCTTCGGGGCTTTGCGACATTTTGTTCATCTTTTTTTCTCTTTCTCGCTTTTGGGCCGGACTTTCGAAGCCTGGCACCAGAAAAGTCCAGTACAAGCTCTGAATGAACGATCTGGCAAGACAGTCCTCCTCACATTCGCTTCACGACATAGTTGTGTCTCTCTTTAGGGAGGGTTGTTTCGAGACGGTCAGAATTCGGTACTTTGGAGCACTGTCGATTCGCAGGCCTACGGCTCGGAGCTCGAGCGATCGTAGGGACTCTAAAGTGTTTGCAAAACGGGATTTTAGAAGAGCTTTTGGAGGCGCACTACTTGTTGCCGACGAGTGGCTTGCAAGCCACTTAGAAGCTGCACGTCCAGCAGCACAAGAGCGCCTGTAAGCTGCACGCCCAGCAGCATAGAGCTGCTTGTGAGCTGCATCCAGCTCTTGTGAGCTGCACGCCAGCACAAGAGCCACTTAAGAGTTGCACGCCCAGAAAGAGCTGCACGTCCAGCAACACAAGAGCTGCTTAAGAGCTGCACGCCGCACGTCCGCAGCATACGAGGCACACGAGCCACTGCCAAACAGCTGCCCTTCCGCCAAACAGACGCGCACACACGCGCGGGGGCTGGGCCCCAGACCTTCGGG